GCGCTATTGTCTCATTCAAGGATCTGTGAGAAGCTCTCTTTGAGTTGTAAATACTCCCAAGAATTTGGGAGATGATGTTGTCTGCTGTAGCTTTCTTATCTGTCATTCTAGTCCGAATTCTTTTTCATCATTTCAGCTCATGTTTGAGACATGGCAGTGCTTACTGCCGGGCTTCCTGTTAGCCGACTCAGAGATTTGTTAATTCGTTTTTCTGGGGAGGAGGGGACATGTTTGTGTTCCAGCAGCTGATTTAGGTCACACCCATCCTGATAGGCGTCCCTTTCTCTGGAGTCATGACATTTAAACTTTCCAAAGAACTAGATACCACTTAGCAATACAGACTGCCAGTGAGCTATATGGAGGCTTTGGGCCGTCTGGTTCTCAGCACTGCGGATCTCCAGATTTAAACCTGCCTACAGCCCCTGCCAAACAGCGATGTGTTGTAAAGTCTCTTCTTTTAGACTTCTGAGAACACGGTGTTACCACAAACTTGTACCCAGCATATAACTGAGCGGGAATAACCAGTAATGTAAGTGTTGGCATCTGTTTGGTCAGTCACTGACTTCATATTTCACCGTTATTCTCAAAACGTTACTTAAAACTTAAATTGCCCTTTGATGTAGTGTATGTATTTATATCTGTCGAGATCTTAGAGGAGTCTTTTTCCTATCCCTGACCGTATTCCTCACCAAAGCATTGGTTATAAGGCCATGGTACTTTTTACCGTAGGGTGGCGGAGACTCACCATGTGATTCACACAGCAGCTGATAAGGTTCATTTTTTCCAAGAAGAGATAAAGAATGTATATCTAGGCAATTCTTCCAGTGCTTTAAAGTATAAACGTATGAACTTGAATTGACACATGAACATTCACCGTGTTTCTATATCCCGCTGCAAACTGTGTTTCTCTTTTGGGTTACTCTGGAGTTCAGGCTACAGGACAGGGCTCTTTTACTGCCTCCACGGTACACAGCAGTAGAGCTCTTCAGGAAACTGCCCTCCCTTCACTACCTCCCCCTAACACATTTAAGGAACCATCCACAATTTGGAAGGCCTCAAAAGCCTTATATCACCCAAGTGATACCTGTGGTCATGGCAGCACTTATCCTGCCACCATTCTGAAGCTCAAAACGTACTCATTTGAAAGAATGAGAAAAACCACCATTGTGTGACCCCTCATGAAATAATTGCTCTGAAGGAAAGTTGGTGGATGCTAGAAGCCTTAAGTGAAAGAACCAATGGTATCCAAGTGGTGCCAGGTCCCCCACAGATTAGTTGCTTAGGGCAAGAAAGAAGCCTCGTAACCCAGTGCTCAAATTTAGCATCATGAATAACAGGACAGATGGCTTTAATGCACCATCAAGTACACAGAATCACCTATGAAATAAATATGTTTAGCCCAATTCTTACCAAATTTTGAGATCTAACATGGTTTTCAGGAAATACAAGGGGGAGAGGCAAACAAGGCACAGACCAATCTCTCAAGATGGGCGTTCTCATAACAACTGGGCGGTCTTTGAGGTCAGCGGTAGCAAAAAGCAGAGGTTAGCGGTGCGGGGATTGATTGTTCTAGATTCAGAGGGACTAGAGAAACCCAATCAGATGCAATGTATGGCCCTTAATTGGATTCTGGTTTGAACAAACTAGGTAAAAAAGACAGCTGTGGAATAATGAGAAATTTTAACCTGATCTCGATTTTAGATGATATTTGGGAATTATGTATTTGTCAGATAGAACAGTTTTATGATTGTATAGGAAGGTGTCATACTATAATGTTTAGGGGTAAAGTATCATGTCTATAATTTTATTTTTAAATGGTTCAGTAAAAAGTACTTATCTACTGTATTTCCCCATGTATAAGACACACCCTTTTTCAAAAAATTTGGGGTCTAAAAACTGGGTGTGTCTTATACAGTGGTTGTATGAGTGCAGAAAAAAAGCGGGAAATGCAAGTAAAAAAATCTACAACCACTGCATAAGACACACCCAGTTTTTAGACTCCAAATTTTTCGAAAAAGGGTGCATCTTATGCATGGGGAAATACGGTAGATAAAAATGTAAAACGTTAATTGTTGGATATGGGTGGTGAGCATATGAGTATTCACTGTATTGTTTTGTATATTAAAGTTTTTAATAGTGAAAATTTTTTTTTAATATCATTTTATCCAAATACTATGTCTGTCACCCACACACATGTAAACCCCTCATTTTGTCCATTGTTTGAAGATGCATTTGATGAATATTCATTTGCCTCCTGTTAGTAAATAAATAGTGAAGAGAAGAGGGACAAAAAAGTTGAAAAATTAAAAACTAGCCCTGCTTACCTCTTCTAGTTTATAATACTTTAGTAGTAGGCTTTTATTTTGACACAGTTTGACTATAGTGGTTAACAGTCTGACGTTGACATTCCACAAAAGCTCGTTCAAACAGAATCTCAGTTACTTTTTAAAATTCTTCTCCAATAATGTATCCTTAAAAATACAAAATACATATACAAACACACACACACATATAAAAGAGAAAAGTCATAATATATCCTAGAGCAGACACTTTGGAGGAGAATTCTTTGTTTAAGTTTGAAGGGTTAAAACTGTGAGTTTGCTTCATAAGGCATAATTGTTTGGTAATGTTAAAAAGTCTTCTTTTTTTCCTTCTCATCTGTGATACGAATTGACAGCTGTCGACTTGCTGGAGAAGATGCTTGTCTTGGACTCAGATAAGAGAATTACTGCCGCCCAAGCCCTCGCACATGCCTACTTTGCCCAGTACCATGACCCTGACGATGAACCCGTGGCCGACCCTTACGATCAGTCCTTTGAGAGCAGGGACCTCCTGATAGATGAATGGAAAAGTAAGTCTTAAAGGCAGGGTTAACATCTAGCTTGAGGACTTAGATTTAAAAATCTTTCCTAGTGGAGCCACTCACCAAAAGCGGGGGGGTGGGGGGAAATAAAACGTCTGGCTGTAACCAACTCAGTAAACCTTGTGAGCAGGGTCCCTGATGCAGAGTGAATATGCTCCTCGGATGGAAACCATTGTAGATGATGACACACTCTGGACCTTTGAGCTGCTCATGTCGGGTCTCATTTTGTGCACAGCCCCTCACATCTGCATAGATCTTTGAGGTGCTCCGAATCTTTGCATTTACAACATCTCTCTGAGATAAGCAGGGAAATGGTATTTTTACTGTTTTGCAATTGATAGAACCGGGGCAGAGAGAGTTTATATCTTATCTGTTAGGCACACAGCCAGAAATGGAACGTATGTCTCCTATGTCCAATCTCATATTCTTTTGATAAAATACAAATTCAGAACTGCAGTTCAATCCCAAAAGCCAGGATTATCTGTTGCTGTAGCTTATGGGAGTGCTCTGCTATTCTTTTTTTTTTAAACATTTTTTGTTTTTAAAAATTTTATTGGGAAATTGGGGAAGGGAACAGTGTAGGGAATTGGGGAAGGGGAACATTGTGTTTTTCCAGGACCCATCTCTCCAAGTCAAGTTGTTGTCCTTCAATCTTAGTTGTGGAGGGCGCAAGCTCATCTCCAAGTCCAGTCGCCACTTTCAATCTAGTTGCGGGGGAGGTGGGGGACACAGCCCACCATTCCATGCGAGAGTCGAACCGACAACCTTGTTGTTAAGAGCACGTGTTCTCACCAGCTAAGTCATCCAGCTGCCCATTGGCAGCTCAACAGCAGCTCAGCTCAGGTGCAGCTCACTGGCCCATGTGGGAATCGAACCCATGACCCTGTTGCTCAGAGCTCATGCTTTTAACCAACCGCGCCACCCGGCTGACCCTGCTCTGTTATTCTTGAGCTCCTCTCCAGAGAACTTTAAAGAGGAGGCACTAAGGGCCGGCCGAGTGGCATGTTGGTTAAGTGCTGGCTTGGGACGCCAGCTCTGAGCAGCAGGGCCCTGGTTCGGATCCCACATGAGGGCCAGTGACACTGCCCTCTACAGCTAAGATGGTGAACA